CACGTATCTGTTAGAGAATGAGCCTCGGACATTCAAAGAAGCTGTGACTTCGCCAGAAGCCCCGTTCTGGAAAGAAGCTATCAATAGTGAAGTTGAATCCATCTTGTCAAACCATACATGGGAATTGGTTGACCTTCCTCCTGGTAATAAACCACTACAATGTAAGTGGATTTTCAAGAGGAAAATGAAAGCGGATGGTGCTATTGATAAATATAAGGCTAGGCTTGTAGTAAAAGGATACAAGCAACGAGAAGGTCTTGATTATTTTGATACTTATTCACCTGTTACTAGAATTACATCCATAAGGATGCTAATTGCCATAGCAGCGGTGTATAAGCTTGAAATCCATCAAATGGATGTTAAGACGGCCTTCTTAAACGGAGATTTGGAAGAAGAAATATATTTGGAACAACCCGAAGGGTTCATTGTTCCAAGTCAAGAGAAGAAAGTATGTCGGCTTATCAAGTCACTCTATGGATTGAAACAAGCACCGAAACAATGGCATGCTAAATTCGACCAAGTCATGTTGTCGAATGGTTTCAAGATCAATGAGTGTGATAAATGTGTATATGTTAAGAACACTCATAATGGTTTTGCCATTTTGTGCTTATATGTAGATGACATGCTTATAATGGGCAGCGATAGTGAGGTTGTTAAGGCGACCAAACGCATGCTCACAAGTAAATTTGATATGAAAGATATGGGGGTTGCAGATGTTATTTTAGGAGTTAAAATCCATAAAACATATGGAGGATTAACTCTATCACAATCCCATTATATTGAGACGATTCTTGGAAAGTGCAAGAATCTAGATATTGTACCGGTAAAGACTCCTATAGATGTTAATTTACATCTTTCAAAGAATACTGGTGAAAGTAAGGCTCAAAATGAGTATGCTAGTATACTAGGCAGTTTAATGTATGTCATGAACTGTACTAGGCCGGACATAGCTTGTGCGGTTAGCAAGCTAAGTCGATTTACAGTTAGTCCAAATGAAAATCATTGGAAAGCAATGAAACGTTTATTGGGCTACTTAAAGCATACTCAAGATTATGCTTTGCATTACACAGAATATCCAGCGGTACTTGAAGGATACTGTGATGCAAATTGGATAACCGGCACTAAAGACACAAAATCGACAAGTGGATATGTATTCACACTTGGGGAGCGGCAGTGTCTTGGAAATCATCCAAACAAACTTGTATTGCTAGATCCACTATGGAATCAGAATTTATTGCTTTGGATAAAGCCGGTGAAGAAGCAGAGTGGCTTCGAAATTTCTTGGAAGATATTCCTAATTGGCCTAAACCAGTGCCCGCTGTATGTATACATTGTGACAGTCAAGCGGCAATAGGAAGAGCAAGGAATGTCATGTATAACGGTAAGTCTCGACACATACGTCGAAGACATGACACAGTAAGACAACTTCTCTCTAGTGGAATTATCACCATTGACTATGTGAAGTCAAAAGATAATATTGCGGATCCATTGACAAAAGGCCTAACTGGAGAGATGGTTGCAAAAACATCAAGGGGAATGGGTTTAAGGCCTATAAACAAGTCATCATAGCGGAAACCCTACCTAGTTGACTGGAGATCCCAAGATCTAGGTTCAAAGGGACAACTAAGTTATGAAGACAGTAGAGTAATCGTTAAATTTTTACTCATTCCCCGATGAAGACAAGACTAATATGTGAAGGTTAAGCAAAAGCTTTTAATGATTCGAATTGAGTATGTGATATACTATATGTTCAGAAATCACCTATGTGAGTGTGAAGTGAGGGCCGCTTCTGTGAGAATTGAAAAGGCCGAATTCTCTAAAACACTCATGAGACCAGGCGGTGTTCATGGCCAAAACGAACACAACAGTGAGAACCAATTTTGTTCGAGAAACAGTTGTGTGATTTCTATTGTCTAGGCTTACACCAAAGGTCGACAGTTCAAAGACATCAAGTCTACTGATTGACTGAGTAAGTCCGATAGGTTTCACTAAGGAAAGTTCAAGGTCTCAGACTACTTATCCTGATGCAACGTTTTCTCATGGAATAATCGCACATTGCATCTCATGCATACACAAAGAGTCATGATATCTGAACTTCTCATTCATGTGGGGGATTGTTGGGATTTTGGAACCAAAATCCCATAGACTTGAATGAGAAGTGTGTGGGTGAAAGTGTCCCACATAGGGTAGAAGAGAGATGGGAGATGGGTTCAAATAGTTGAGCCTCACAAATGGGTTTGGGCCCCAAGGGGTACCCCACTTTTGTGGAAGAGAGAGGACCTACGTCAAGCTAGGTCGGTCCACCTCCCGCGCGCGCGCCGCCGCCGCCGTCCGTCCGGCCGGCTCGGTTCGGTTCGGTTCCGGGTCCACTCTCTATCGGTTTTTTTTTTATTTTTTAGTTTTCGAACAGACACGTTGTTTAGAAATTATTTATTTATTTATTTATTTTTGGACAAACAAACATGTCTGTTCGTGAGGTTCGGTTCGCCCGAACGAAAACCGAAGCCCTTCGCTACTATTCACGAAAACTCGCGACTCTTCATTTTTCGTCACTTGAATAAGACCGAACAGTTTAGTTCGGAATATAGATATCACTTCGTGGCATTCATTTTTTCAAGACGCACTCTACGCATATTCACTTCATCATTGTCATTTGGTGCGATTGTTCTGCAAAATTGCGTTCGTTGGAGTCCTCCGAATACGTACCGCTTCGGAGGAACGAGATCCGTTCTATCCTGGGAGACGATTGTCCAATATCCTCGGGTACAGATTGAGGGGCCAAATTCGTCTTAAGGACACGACGTTAATTCGTTGGGCTCGGATCAACATTCTGCTTATTTGGTTGTACTGCTTTCAGGTTAGTTTTTCCTAACGTTTGATTTTAATTTCTGATATACGAACTTAGCCGACTACACCATCTACGTCTCTCACAGCAAGATTTCCCGAATCCAGGAGCTGTCGTTCACATACAGATGAGTTGGAGGGCCAAATTTCCCTTGCATACCTGTCCGAAAGGACAGGACTTCCCCTGGCTAATGACCTTCAAAGGACCTGAAGAATCTGTAAGGGGAATGGCTGTGTTTTCAACCCATCTTACTGTCATCTTGGGTGTTTTCTTGCACCATATTCCAAGGTATCGCCTTGGAGGATCACCACGGCAGAAGAATCCTAATTCAGAATTCCCACCCACTGAAATTAAATGATCACCATCTCGGATCGACTGATCCGTAGTTATTGCATCTAATGTATTGGCAAGAAGAGCAGTATACAGCGAAGAGAAAAGAAGAAGACATGAAAAGTGTTTTCATACTGATTTTTTTTTTGGACATAACAGAGACTTATCATTTCATTTAATAAATAGCCCTCTAGAGAAAGGGGCATCAAAACACAGGATCTCCCATAGAGGGGGTGGTGGGTAAGAAACCCAATAACGTGGAAGTGCCTTAACTCTTGAGGCCTTTACAACCCAATCTGCTGATCTATTTGAATCTCGAGGGCAGTAGGCTAACTCAAGACTCTCAAAAAAGGCCATGAAGCCTAAGCATTCTGTGATAAGGGGCTCAACGTCCCACGAGCAGAGAGAGGAATCTTGTAGGAAGCAGCCAAGGTTCTCAAGGGCTGATTGAGCCGTGAAGGCCAAAGGGAGAATATTGATTTATGGAGAAAAGGGTCAAAAAAGTCCTAAACCTTTTACATTAATGCCAATTTAGTCCTAAACCTTTTTTTTGGTGTCAATTCAGTCCTAAACTTTTTGCATTGGTGCCGATTTAGTCCTAAATCTTTTCTTGGTGTCAATTCAATCCTAAACCTTTTTGCATTGGTACCAATTCAGTCCTAAACCTTTTGCATTGATGCCAATTCAATCATAAACCTTTTTTTGGTGCCAATTCAGTCCGAAACCTTTTGCATTGGTGCCAATTCAATCCTAGACCTTTTGCATTAGTGCAAATTTAGTCATTCCAGCTAATAGCTATTCACGTGTCGAAGGACTGAATTGGCACAAATGCAAAAGGTTTATGACTGAATTGGCACAAATGCAAAAGGTTTAGGACTGAATTGGCACAAAAATAAGGTTTAGGACTAAATTGGCATCAATGCAAAAAGTTTATGACTTTTTTTGACACTTTTCCCTTGATTTATGAGGGGTGAAGGCTCGTGTTGTCAAAGCAGATATTAGTCAGAAAATAAACTAATCATATTCAATATCAACTGGTAATTGCATCATACATGGGAAAATCGGCAATATTTTAATCCTCATATATGCACTTTCAAAAGACCACTTTTCCTCCAAGACAAGTCCTTATGATCAAGAAAGTTTTGGAGAACCCAGGAAAGCTTTCAGTCAAAAAACCAATGACTAAAAGAGGAGACGACCCCATGTTCACTGGGGTAATTAGTCATGCAACTGCTGGTCATGTAAAGACAGGACATTTTCTCGACGCCCACAAACTTGGGTCAAGGTTTTAGCAGTGATATTTCAGCAACAGTATGAAAGTTTCGTGATGATACACGTAATCAAGCAACGGGGCTCTTGTACCCAGTTGTGCTCCCTAAGAATTGATAGTATCATTTTGTTAACAAATGCTCAAGGGCTACACTTGTTAAACACCTCTATTTGTTGTTTCAAATATTATTTTTCTGTATAATGCACGATTGATGCATAGGAAATGAAAATATTTCCTTATTAAATATGGTTAACCGGTAAATTGGGATACTCGTGTATCTTGTCTCCCGCTCCCCCAACAAAATTCAGGTTCATAATATTCTTAAATATTAAGTTAATTGGGAACCAGGCAATTCGAAGCTGATCAGTACAGAAAATTTCTTAGAACAGATGATATGTAGAGGAGATGAGAATACTGTGGTGTGAGGCTTTTGTCTAAGACCTCAGAAATAATTGGAACACCCATTTCATATCAATTGCAAGCTGAAGACTACTGGAAATAGAACAAGAGGTGAAAGATTACCCATGATTTGTGATAACACTTGCAAAAATGCAATGAAAGAAACGGCACAATCCATTACTATAGTTTTTTGTACTCCTAGATTACAAAATTTCCCTTCTTTGGCCTTCAGAAAAGATACATACATATGTCCCAACTCTAATAATCTGAAGAAAACAAAGAGATTCCAAGAGACAATAACACGTATTGCAATTTCTATAGGAAAAACTGTCAGATAAGTTAGTACATCATCCCAAAATTTGGGGTCCCATTTGTCTCCAAACCCACCCATTTGTCTTTAACCAGTGTTCTTTGCGACCTCGACAATGATTTATTTCTTTTCGCCAGCAGTAGATTCGGGTGGCGGTTTGACAATGCTTAGCTGACCACCTTCCTTGTTAGCAGCGGTGGCTGCTTTCACTTCGTTGCAGTGGTTTATGAACTTGCTTATCTCCTGCATCATTAAATTAGAGGCATCAACCAAAAAAAAAAAAAATTAGAGGGAAAGTTGGAAGGCAACTTCACAGGTTAATGGATTGATTTTCTTCCTTTTACCAAGAATTAGATTCGATGAGAATATGATCATATTAAACTAGAATCGAATAAGCATGATAAAAAATCAAATGACAGAAGGAAAACCATTGTGCCTCAGATTGCACCAGTTCTGACAGTAAACTCGTAATAAACCACATGCAGATGCTAGCCAAGCAAATTTCAAAGTAGTGGAAAGTGCACTTTTTTTTCTGGAGGCAAGAAGAGATGCAAAACATCGAATCATGTCAAACTGACTAGAGAAATTATCAACTGGGGGTGTATCAAATTGAAACCTCTCAATTTCCTCGGATGTCTACAGAAATCCCAAAGGACACGCTAGAATCCTCCACTGGTTCCAACAGAGAGGCGGTAGATCAATATGCTCTCGGCAGACAGAATTAGCAGAATAGAACCGATGCTACAACGTTTGTTTAAGCAATCAAGTAACATCTTTGGAGCTTGGAAAACGAAGTCTCTTGTAAGAGAAAGAGCCAGATAGTGTCAGGGTTTTCGACACGAAACGAAATTCTCTCGACACTCTAATCAATCTATTGTAGCAGACCGCTCTACCCAGAACCTCTAATGGCGTCAAATCAAAACCTTTCGAAGATTACACCAATTCCACAATATATTATGACAATGAGGGAAGAACAGACAGAGTAATCATCATCGCTTCCCAATCAAATTCTTCCAAAGCAAGCAACTGCACTTCCCAAACACCGATCGGAAAACCACGAGACATGTATGGACGAATCGAGATTGAAGCTAAGGAATCGACCTAACTAAGCTGGCAGATTCCATCGACCAAAACCAAAATTTAAAGCTCTGGTGCGAGCGAACACTTACCCGGTCCATCTCCATGTCCTTAGTGACCTTCAATGGCTTCACGTACCTCTTCCCTGCGACAATAATCAGAGCACGATCGTATCAGAAGAAGAAAGAACGCCGAATCGCATCAGAACCCGGCGACGACAGTCTCGAAACCCGCACGAAACCTACGAAGGAAAAGACGATACCTTTGCGAGTTGGAGGGGCTTTCCCATGGCGACTCGGAGGGATGGTTTTCTTCTTCTGTTGGCCCTTGAACAGGTTCGATTTCTGCGTCATCTTCTGCTTCTGCTGCTGCTGCTTCTTCTTCTTCTTCTTCTTCTTCTTCAGGGTGTGCTGCGTTCGTCGCTGTAGCCGTTAGGGTTTCAGAATTTTGCTCAGTTGTTTTTTTTTGCAATGTTGAGGTCGGTGTCGGCCCAAATTCCAAAGCCCAAGGAATAAGGAATGATCCTTAAGGCCCAATTTAAAGCCCGAAGAACATGACCCTCCATCCATCGATCAACCTAACCACAACCCGAAATCCGACCCGGAAAAGGACCATGACCCGAAAATAAAACATCCGATCATATAGCAATGGATGGAAATCTTGGTGTGTGCTCGTTACTGAAGATGGATTCAGGTGATCGGTTGCCGATTTTGTTTTGAAGAAGTTGCAGATTTGCTCTTCAAGCGGATGACCCATAACTTTGTTATGATAATTCATTTTGTTATCTGGAACTTATTTTATTTTGAAATTGTCTAGGATTTGTTTTGATTTGCGGTTGGACTGCCTTGTTTTCCTCTTGTATTTCCGTGGAAAAAAATGAAATTTTACTTTGACAATAATAATAATAAATAAATAAAAACAAAGGGGGTTTGACCTAGATACAATTGGGTACGGAATCGATTGGAATAAGTTAGAACAAGCGTATATAAAATGATCCAACAATGACCACACTCTAGACGTTTAGGAATCCAATCTAATCTAATGACCATTGCTTATAGAATAAATCTAAAAAATATAGATTATTTCACATTATCAATGATTGGCATGTGACCCACTTTTAAGTTTCTGGGTTATTATCACGAAAAATCCCAAACTGGTAGACATGTAACAAATTTACCTAAAACTAATTTTTTAACCACCAAAAACCCCAAACTGATACACTTATGACAAATTTACCCTCTGTTAGTTTCCATTAAATTTTACTGTCAAATTACTTAGTTAAATGACACATATCAGTTAATGAATGTACCAATTTGGGGTTTTACCATCAATTTATCCCAGGTGTACAAGTTTATAGTTTTTTTTGTATTAATTCAATTTAATAGAGGGTAGATTTGTCACAAATATACCAGTTTGGGATTTTTATGGTAAAAAAATTAGTTTGGGCTAAATTTGTCACAGATATACCAGTTTGAGATTTTTGGTGGTCAAAAAATTAGTTTTGGGTAAATTTGTCACAGGTGTACCAGTTTAGGGTTTTTCGTGGTATTAACCCTAAGTTTCATAATTTTTATTTCCTTCCGATATTACAAAAATAAGCAATAACCATTTTTCCTTTCCAATGATTACATTTTCGTTCTTTATTTTCTATTCTAAAATACATGGATTTACATCAACAATTTTTTTAATACACTCAAGAAAGATTGTAGAGATAATTTCTCATGTTTTGGTCAGAAATCACCGACGTGAAGGTTCAGTTAATGCTGGCCGTCTTACGTCGCACAACGGCATTGAAGTGAATAATTTATTTTAAAATTTTCTGAATTTGTTATTGATTTTTTATTTTTCTTTTCTTTTCTTTCTATTCTTTTTTCTTCACGGGGCAAGTGGCGTTGCCACCGGGGCAAGGGTTGCGGCCCTCGCCGGCAACAGCGAGGGCCTGTAAGGGCTAGGACGCCCTCGCTGTGGCCCGTGCCGCCCTTGCCCAATGGTCGGCGGAGATTGCCGGCCCTCAGTCAGCTCGGTGAAGAAAAAAAGAAAAAGGACAGGAAAACGAAAGAAAAGATAAGAAAAAAATATAAAAAGAAATCAATAAAAAAATATTTAAAAAATTATCCTGGTCAAAATTAGCCGGAAAGACTACATTTATAATCTATTAAAAGGTTTAACACTAAATTAGCATAATTAAAATATTTATAATTGAATTGATCGCAGTACAATTGATTTAGGACTTTTTGGACAATATTCCCCCCCGAAACCACACATGCCACCTCCGTCGTTGCATAGAGTCGGTCACATTTCGAGTAATGAGTAACTATCCAAATAAATGCAAAAGGTATATATTAATACAAACTAGAAGCAGAGGGAGCTAATCACTAGCATAACAAACTTTAAAAGATATAAATTATCGAATCTAACATATCACAAAGATATGATATCTTGAACCCTCTGAGCTCTCACGAACCATGTTCAAGTATGCTTCTACACGCAATTTCGTGTTATTGTTTAACCATAGGTTCATTCACTAATCTTGAAAACATAAATGTGTTCCTCCAATAATGGTATCTACGTTATTCATTTTTGACTTTTGTCCACCTGATGTTGAACATACAAACAAATTCCATATTCACCATTTGAAGATTAAAACAAGTATCCTTCATGGACTTATCATTACTCTACTGAGCGACATTTACTTTCATTCCTGGTTGGAGAAAATAACTTCTTTTCAACTAGATCTCTAATTGGTGGGTTATAAACATGGACATCATCCATACATAAACTTATATGTCCATACCTGCAACTCACAATCAGAAATCTGGTTGGAGAAAAGCTCGGGCCTTGTCTTCTTTAACTTACCTGTATTCGGTTGACCGAATCCACGAAGAACGATAGACAAAAAATGAGAACTTCCTTGTATTTTTTTCATAAGAACTTACTTGTATTTTGTTACAAGCAATTGGAGAAAAGCTGCCATGAGAGCTCTGCTATATTAACCTCCAGCACAAGGCCTCCCTGCCCCACCAAATGGTGTGAAGTGCTTTCCAATCACGTTTACCACCCACCCCCCCATCCTGTGTAGTATAGTTTTTTTTTTGGTGTAAAATGTAAGTAGTATATAACAGATGATGTACAGCAGCTTAGGGGCATTCCCCGGCACTACAACTAGTACTAATAATTTGAGAACATGGAGGTAGGAAGTCTCCATAAAGTAGCTAAAACAACGTTAGCTTGCGAAGGTTTGATTTTTTGGTATAACGAAGCTCTACCTCTTACATTTTTCCGCACCTTCGCCTAAATAATCTGAATGTTAGTTGGATTGTTTTGAAACCGTCTATGGTTGCACTCCATCCAAGTGCAATATACAGTTGCTAGGAAAGATACTTTGAGGAGTTTCGCTGCCAAATCTTTGTCTCTTGTTGCTCTAACCATCCATTGAAGCTCCTCATTCCATCCCCATACATTACGCCTGTTGCGCAAGAATATTGCGCCAGATGCTACTTGTCCATTCGCATTGGAAGAAAAGGTGAGTCCTATTCTCTATACTTGCCCTACAGAAGGTACATTGGACATCGACTGAGGTCATCCACCGTGATATGATCTCTACTGTCGGAAGCCTATCCCTACATACTAACCAACCAATAAAATTGTATTTGCTAACGCCGCTACTCCATATTAAATTATACCACTCCACAGCCGGACTCTCGTGTCTAAGTTCATCCAAGACATCATGGCAGCAATATCTTGGATTAGACATGACTGGGGTTTCCTGTGTAGTATAGTTGAACTCTCATGTATATATATAGTATACATTCAAAAAGCATCATACGTAAAATTATCAAGTTGACATTGTAATACGATTTCTTTTGTCATTTACTGAACGAATAACCATAAAACATCTTCTTTTAATTATTTGACCCTCTTAATTTTGTTGTGACAATAATGCCAAAACTATTGCCTCCAAGAGGTTGGCTGCATTGGTAAGGGTGTAAGACTTGGGGTCCCAGGTCCCAAGTTCGAGTCCCCTCTGCCGCGTAACCTTATCATACTCTTGACTTACATAGAGGCTAGTTAGTGAGGCCAGATTAGCTCTCCTCCGGTTGGTACTTGGCCGATCGGACCCTTGTAGTGCGGCCGGTGCGGGAGTTCGGATTATCAAAAAATAAAATAAAAAATAAAAAAATAATGCCAAAACTAATGGATAGCAAAACGAAATTACTAGAGAAATCAATAATGAACGATAAAAACATAAAAAGTTTAGGTGGTTCGGTTTGAGTATCGGTACCTACTTTACAAGGAGAGCCAACTACAAAGAAATTCGTTAAGTGTTTCTTAGGCAGAAATTATGCTTAAAGCAAACCCACAAGTATTATCTCATAATCTCTCTAAAAAAAAAAATCATTATGAAACTCGCAAAGAGAAAACACTAACACTCCTCTTATTTTCTCTAATGTGTAACTTGTGAAAATAAGTCAAAAAAGAAAACTTTAAATCCCGTGCTTTCAAGTTAGGTGTGACGCCTGGGGGCTCGGCCCCTATTAAGAGCTGAGAGCCTTATTTGGGCCTCTAACTGGGCACCCACCCAAGTCAATCCGAGCTCCCGGCGTTAAATAGTCAGGTGCCCGCCTGTTGCTCAGTAGCTATAAGCTTCTGCGCGCATATGGGCAGACACTCGATCTCTCCAGCTTCCTCGCACCATGGGTACCTCTAAAAACTCTTTTACCTATCTTGATCTCTAGGTACGATCCAAACTCCAAATTTGACACGAACTTTGAGCCAACAATTCACAGCATTTTTTTAAGGCTTCTTCTGTTTCGTGGTTTGCTGAGTTGTGGATACTGCCATATGATTAAGATAATACTGTTGCATTATAACTATTCATAAATTGGTACCTCCATCTCGATGGATTGAACACGAGTGGATCTTCAAAAGTTTCCGAATTCAGATGGAGACCTGCTTGAACAATGATGATGGTCCAGCCTTTCGGAATTGTGTATAGGTACAAGACAAATAGGATGGAAGCAAATAAGGATGTGCAAAGGAACAGGGAACTGCCCGGACCGCCCGGAACTGGACCATACCGGCCCGGAACCGGTGGTTCCCGTGAGGACCAATCCGGTTCCCAGTTCTAATTTACTAGAACCGTTGAGTACCGGTCCGGTTTCCGGTTCTAAGCGTGGAACCGCCCACCCGCCCACCTGGACCGAACCGGTAATATATATAATTTTTAAGAAAAATTTCAACAAAAAAAAACATTTTTAGAAAAATGAAAACTATAAAATTCCTAATTTGAAGCTCGACTCTCAATTTCCATCAACTTACGGCTGCGCCGCTAGCAGTTCATTGCCTCCCTCTCTCACTCCCGGTCACCTCCATTTGTGTGAAACTTTGTAGGACCGGTTCCATGGACCCACCCGGAAACCGGACCCGTCCAGTTCCTGGATGGATCCATGGAACTAACGGGCGGTTCTCGGTTTCCATTTCTCAGAACCGGTCCTTAGTGGGTGGTTCCCGATTCCATGTTGGGAACCGCCCGCCCGGACCTTGCTCATCCCTAGAAGCAAAGCGAGAGAAATTTAACCATTAGTTGTGTGGATGTCCTTTATTGCTCTTCTAAAGATTGCCGCCGCAATGCTCTCGAGTCTTAGTGACTCGTTGATGACCGAGGATTGATTTTCTTTCGGACGTTCTTGATTAGAAAAGATAGATGTATCTCATGGATCACTAGGGAGAGTAATCATAACTATGCTAATGACATCTGACCATATAGTAAGGCATTCCATATTTTCAATTATCTTAAAGATCAAAGCATAAAAAAAATGAGAGAGAGTGAGAAATTGATTTGCTTTTTCTCCTCCTTGACTCACTTGATGGCCTAATTCCAAAAAAAACCCCAAACTTTATACTTTGTCCCAATTATACCCTGAATTTTTTTTTGTCTCAAGAAAAACCTCAAACTTTTCTCCGAGTCCCAAATCTACCCTACAGCTTATAACTCCGTCCAATTAACGTCGGAAAAAAAAAAAAAAACAGAACCGGCGGTGCGGCGTGGCCAAGCCTTTGGTGGCCGCCGCCACGGCCGCCGGGAAGGAGCGGCGGCCCTCGCCCCGGGCCTTCCGAAGGCCGGCGACCCTAGGCCCCGGCGAGTCGCCGCGAGGGTCCGGCCCCGTCTCGGGGAGGGCGCGACCTCGCCCCATATCGGGGCCGCAGCCCTCGCCGGCGACTCGCCCGTGGCCGACGAGGGTCGCCGGCCTTTGGGAAGTCCCAGGCGAGGGCCGCCGCTCCTTCCCGGCGGCTGTGGCGGCGGCCACCGGCGAAGGCTTGGCCGCGCCGCAGCCGCTGGTTCTGTTTTTTTTTTGTTTTCTGACGTTAATTGGATGGAGTTATAACGGTAGGGTAGATTTGGGACTCGGAGAAAAGTTTGAGGTTTTTTTTAAGACAAAAAAAAGTTCAGGGTATAATTAGGACAAAGTGTAAAGTTTGAGTTTTTTTTTGGAATTAGGCCCTCACTTGATGGGTATAGGTCATGGATTTGTATTCCTTCCACGTCATCCCAGCGGTCCCATCACTTCTGCTGCGAATGACTTACTCATTGTCCTCCTGATCGTGGATATGCTGAAAGAAGATATTGTAAGGAAATTATACCCACGAAACCTCCGAGAACTTGGATAGCACTTTAGCTATATATAGCTCAGGAAAGGAACAGTTTACCGTTAATTTCTGAACCACATCAGGGTTTTCGGAGAGATATTTAATGGCTATGGTCATGGCGGATGATACTGCTGCAAATCCAGCGATTAGGAGCACCATGATCATGTACGAAATGAATTTACTGGTCAGGAAAGCCCCATTTTTCGTTTCACTGATGAAGTGATCCAATAGATCTCCCTTGCGCGCATCCGGAGATGATAATCTTTCCTCTATCTCCCGTCTTATCATTTCCATTATCTTTTTGTGGCTCTGAAACAATTTAAAAAGGTACATGATCACATTGTTGTATGTTGCATACTTCCACTTTATCTTTATGATGGTTTCAGACTTCAACCCATGAATAGGAAACACAATTAAGAAATCCAAAAAATTACTTTCTACCACAAGAAAGAAAGAAACGAACAGGAAACAGAAAATGAAGAGACTGTAATTTCAAGTAATTGTTCAGTGATTTGTGCAGTGCCTTTCAGATTTTTAATGTCTCTTCGATTACATTTCCTAGACTTAAAAGTTTCAAACTTCACTAATCTTTGATGGCTCATTTGATACCCTCAAAGAGTTTTAAGTTGAGAATAGTCTCAGGAGTCGCTTTTGGAGGATCGAGTCATAGTCTAGCGTGACCCAACAAAGCATGTGTGTGAGTGCAGTATAAGCAGTATCACAATCAGAGAGAGCAACCTTGGTGAAGATGCCAACACCACACTCCATTGCAACCTTGGCCAAGAACACCGCTGACTTCTCAAGCTCCAAGTACCTCTCCACCACTGCTGCCGGCACCTTCCCCGCCTGTATTGCTGTGGCCAAGTCCTTGGGGATGCTGTCCAATGTCCTTGAAACCTGATTGAGCACAATCGCATCAATGTAACATACAATGTGAATTGCATAGATCGAAATCGCACAAGTACGTTCAAATTTAACTGCGAGAGGGGACAAATAAGTCTTAAGATTAAAGGAGTGCAGTTCCTCAAAGAAAATCAAACTGAGCAAAGTGTACATTTTTATTTGGACATGCACCATAAGGTAGTCTAAGGCATGCGCAAGGGTACATGCAAATCAACAAGTATTATGCTAACATTTTGAATTATGACCAAATGTAACTCTTGATTAAGCTAAATGGATCATATTCAAGCATCTAACAGGAGCGTCACTAATCTTAGCATCTCTAGCACTATTGATGTAATATTTCAGCATGAACATGTACACATGGTGTTTCTACCTTTATTGAGGGATGCAGTTTGTGGAGGCTACCTCAGCTAAAGCAAGACGAGTCTCGATTCTGTTGCGGGACCCAGAGCCATCGCCACCATCTCCTCCACTGCCGCCTCCTTTTCCGCCTCCGCCACTGCCACCAGGGCCACCCCCGCCACCAGAGTAGGGAATAGGTGAGAGGCAGCGGCCGCGGGGGATGGCAGAGGAATGATGTGCAGGGGAAGTAGAGACCAACGCCCAGAGCTCACACGGCGCGTCACGATCATGAAGCTGTGAGAGAGACTGTCGTGAGAGTGGGGGCCGTGGTGGTGATTATGAGCTGTAAACGAGAGAGAGGGAGAGTGTGGAGAGAGGCTTAACGAGAAAATGGCAAAAGCCATGTTTCTTGCTGAGTCTGGGTTTTTCTGAGACGGAGACAGAGAATCACACACACCCAAACCAACACAAAACACCTCCAGAACCGCGGGCCCGGTCAACGGGCCGGGCCCGGATTTGACCGGGCCGGTTCCGGGCCGAAACCGGCCTGTGGCCATGACTACTTCGAATCGTATCGACAGTCCTCCGCTCTCTATCTCAAAGCCAAGCACTAGACCCAAACAAAAAAAAAAAATCGCGTCTTGCGCAACGCCGTCGCCAGTAGCCCTAGCGCGCTCGCCATCCTCCTCCCTATCCGCAGTCCAGGAGCTCACCCCCTCGCTCCTCTCCTTCAAGAATCACCGCTCTTTCTTCCTCTCTCCCTTGATTCTCAACTCCCTCAATTTCTGCTGCTTGGATGATTCCAGAACCAGGCACCACGACTCCGGTCGCGGCAGCTCTCTCGGCCTTGTGGTGGCCGCCGTAGCGTCTGTCGCAGAGGCGGAGGTGGTCGAGGAAGGGGCGGACGAATCCAAAGAAGGCGCTGCTGTTGCCACCGTTGCCCCGCCCAAGCCTAGGAAAGCGGCTTTGCCACTCAAGAGGGACAGAGTATGTAGTTTGTGTATTAGTAGGGTTCTTGTGTTGGCACTAGTTTTTTTTTTTTGCTTATTGTCTTAGTTCGACTGTTCAATCCGAGTATGAGGAAGGAAGATGATTCTTTTCCATGACTAGGCTTAATTATCCTACTAGTCATTAGAAAAATGCCCACTGGAATTTAGTTGTCTAAGGATTAGAAGAACGAGCCTCTTAACAGATTTCATGGTTTGTTGGTTTGTTCACTTAACATGTGCTTATGATTCATGATGTATCATCGTTTGTCTTACTTCTTTTTCCTTTATAATCTCTGATTTTTGTTGTTGGATAGTTGGAAAAATCAAGTAGTGATTCTTATGAGAAGTACGGCTTCTAAGTTCGGTTTTCAAGTTTTACTTTCTGAAATTCTCAGAGCTCTTTATGATGATTTACAATAAGATCTACCTATACCTTGGCACCTGGTATAAGTCTGAATTGCGGAGCTCAAGTCATGTTCATATATTGCTCTTATCAAAGTTTTAGCAAGCATTTTGTCATTTTTCCTTATTCTCGCTTGCCCTGGTTAATTTACATCTTTTAAATGCCAGACGAGGTCGAAGAGATTCTTGGAAATTCAGAAACTTAGAGAAAACAAAAAGGAGTATGACCTGAGTACGGCAATTTCCTTGCTGAAAGAGACAGCAAGTAGCAAGTTTGTCGAAACTGCTGAAGCCCATTTCCGGCTGAACATTGACCCTAAGTACAATGATCAACAGCTGAGGGCAACTGTGAGTTCTCTTGCTTGCTTCATACCTTGAACTCATGTTTCTGTGATATAGATATTCCTCATAGTCCAATAATCTCTGTCTCTAGGTGAACTTACCCAAAGGAACTGGACAGACCGTCAAAGTGGCTGTGCTTACTCAAGGTGGTAGCTCAATCCTCAGTATTATTTTGCTTATTAAGCCGACTCGTGCTTTGATGAATGATGGTGAACTCAGAACTGTCATTATATTATCCACTTGTCATCTGAACCGCATATCAAGCATTGGCTTGGAAGTAAACACACTTGATGAATTTTCATTGGACAGCAACATAGTTATTGTTGCTTTGACTCATCATGGAGGTGCTGATCATCTGTAGGTGAAAAGTTCGATGAGGCAAAGAATGCAGGAGCAGATTTAGTTGGGGGAGAGGACTTGATAGAACAGATCAAGGGAGGATTCATGGATTTTGACAAATTAATTGCTTCCCCAGATATGATGCCCAAGGTGCTTCTCTGCTATTTATATGGCTGATTATTTGTTTATCCGAACTTCTGCTTCCATGTGCTTGAAGTAACTTGGAAATCTTGTCTGACGAAGAATTGTGAAGTAACATGTCTTCTCCCTATGATATGTTGTCCTGACAAGTTGCAAATCTTTGATGAGCATACAATTTTGCGCTGGTACTGGTGGCTTATCTCATATTATACATGATGATGATGATGGTTCAGATGGAATTCAACTTTTAAGGGGTGTGTATGTGTTTGTGTTGTGTGTGTGTTTGAAACATTTCTCAGGATTTGGTTGATTCATTTGGAAGCTAAAGTAGAAATTGCCTTTCTCTGATTATGTTTTAGCCGGTCTTATTTGATATGCCTGCAAAATATTCCTGTGCAATTGGTTAAGAAGGACACTGGAGGTTTATCTAGCAGATCTTTAACTGGTGACTTTTGCTCACGGGCTTCTTGATGAACTTCTGTCAGGAACTTGCTATCTATGCACATATCCAAGCTATAAGATTTCTGGTTTGTATTTTCATAAAGTATTTACTGTGTGTCAGGTTGCCAGTTTGGGAAAGCTTCTTGGACCACGAGGACTCATGCCAAATCCAAAAGCTGGCACAGTGACAACTAACATACCTCAGGTATAGTCGAACAGGCAAATTTCCACAAAAACAAAGCTTTGAGTTTAGCTTTTAAGCACCAAACAAAGTCGAATTTCCAGCATTATACAAATCCTTTTTTCGTGCTTCATAAACATGAGATTTACTCTCATAAGTTGTCTAGATGGCCACAGACCTTATCTACAATGAAATATGCAGCTTTTAAATTTAAACCTTTGACATATGGCCTGTCATATAATTATTAACCATTTAAAAATTTTACCATGATGAACAATTATCTAGAATCAATTGGCAATTGTAATTTCAAGGTTACCATTCTTGGCTTCAATCACAGCTCGCTCAAGTCCCTCATCCAATTTTACATCCCAGATTTGGACTTGCAGAATCTCATATCCATTGAGATCAACAGGCTGCAAAATTTAGAGAACTCCAGTTCAGTTTATCTCTCATAATAACATCAAGAAGTCTAGAGTGGACAATTTTTTCCATTTCTTTCATAATAGCTTGGGCAATTGCATCCCTCTACCTAGAAACTCCGTCCATGTTTTGCACCGCAACCATAGCTCCGATCACTAGAATGATTGAAACAACAAAATCAGGCATGCAATAGTCGTTGCTTACCCGAAGTGTTAATTGAAGGATTAAAGTATGTTACTTTTGCATGTAAATTGTACAAATTTGTTCCAATACTATATTTATATTGATGTGATGAAATTTATTTGGCACATACCCTTGAGCACATATCCCTGGATCTGACGTCTTGGATTACTCTGCATGTGAAAGGCCTCATATCGTTTTTTTGGATGGACTCGGTATTGCACATATGCAATAACATTGACAAAATCATCGTCCTGTGAGAAAAATATCACGTGAGGTCATTACTTATTCAAGCATTTACATGTTAATTGGTAACAAGTGACAGGCTGTCATCTCACAGAACTAAAACGAGAAAAGGAAATTGATAAATCCATCAACATTCAACTCTAAATTCATCAATTATTTGAAATACACCAATAGAATCGCACTAATACTTCTCGACCAACCGACGAAAGCTAGTTTAATTGTGAAAATGTAGTTCTCATAGCTGTTTGAAAACAAAACATTCAAGGAGCAATGTGCTGATTTAAATAGTTTTTGTTTCCCACTAAGAAGATCACCGGTGCATTTGTGTACTATAGAGCAAAATCATCTAGAATGAAATCTAAATGTTGATGGAAGTTTGTACAAAGACAAAAGATTGAACAAACCTTGGTCTTTGTTCTGCATTTCACAAGCAAACTCTGCCATTGGAGTGACAGCTTCCCGGCGAGCTGATATCCGTAAATCCATGGAACAAAATGACACTCAGGTTGAAGAGTTCTATCAAACTTTCCACAACTCTTCGTAAAGCCTATCATTTGTTCCTCAACTTGGACACAACATACGTTACCCATCTTATATGTATATAAGTGGATCTTGCAGAAAGCATGTAATTGTTAGTTTAACGCAAATCATTTTCTTCAAACTTTCAGTAAAATAAAAGCCACATGGGTATGTCACAGCCACAGGTCCTTTCAGTTTCATCCAACCACAAAAAATCTGGTGACATTTTACACATCTAATCTAATCTAATCTAACCCAAAATTCGACCAGTAATCAATGCCTACCTGATAAGTAACATTGCCATTTCTTTTATTTCCATGTAATCAACAACTAAACCCCTAGAGCAAACCATGTTTGTCTTTTCAGTTGTTGATTACATGGGAATAAAAGAAATGACAATGTTACTTATCATGTAGGCATTGATTGCTGGTTGAATTTTGGGTTAGATTAGATTAGATGTGTAAAATGTCACCAGGTTTTTGGTGGTTGGATGAAACTGAAAGGATCTGTGGTTGTGACATACCCATATGGCTTTTATTTTACTGAAAGTTTGAAGAAAATGGTTTGTGTTAAACTAACAATTGCATGCTTTCTGCAGGATCCACTTATATACATATAAGATGGGTAACGTGTGTTGTTGTGTCCAAGTTGAGGAACAAATGGTAGGCTTTACGAAGAGGTGTGGAAGGTTTGACAGAACTCTTCAACCTGGGTGTCATTTTGTTCCATGGATTTGCGGATATCAGCTCGCCGGGAAGCTGTCACCCCAATGGCAGAGTTTGCTTGTGAAATGCAGAACAAAGACCAAGGTTTGTTCAATCTTTTGTTTTTGTGCAAACTTCCATTAACATTTAGATTTCATTCTAGATGATTTTGCTATATAGTACACAAATGCACCGGTGATCATCTTAGTGGGAAACAAAAACTGTTTGAATCAGCACATTGCTTCTTGAATGTTTTGTTTTCAAACCGCTATGAGAACTACATTTTCACAATTAAACTAGCTTTCGTCGGTTGGTCGAGAAGTATTAGTGCAAATCTATTGATGTATTTCAAATAATTGGTGAATTTAGAGTTGAATGTTGATGAATTTATCAATTTTCTTATCTCGTTTCAGTTTGGTGAGATGACAGCCTGTCACTTGTTACCAATTAACATGTAAATGCTTGAATAAGTAATGACCTCACGTGATATTTATCTCACAGGACGATGATTTTGTCAATGTTGTTGCATATGTGCAATACCGAGTCCATCCAGAAAAACGATATGAGGCCTTTTACATGCAGAGTAATCCAAGACGTCAGATCCAGGGATATGTGCTCAAGGGTATGTGCCAAATAAATTTCATCACATCAGTATAAATATAGTATTGGAACAAATTTGTACAATTTACATGCGAAAGTAACATACTTTAGTCCTTCAATTAACACTTCGGGTAAGCAACGACTATTGCATGCCTGATTTTGTTGTTTCAATCATTCTAGTGATCGGAGCTATGGTTGCGGTGCAAAACATGGACGAAGTTTCTGGGCAGAGGGATGCAATTGCCCAAGCTATTATGAAAGAAATGGAAAAGATTGTCCACTCTAGACTTCTTGATGTTATTATGAGAGATAAACTGAACTGGAGTTCTCTAAATTTTGCAGCCTGTTGGTCTCAATGGATATGAGATTCTGCAAGTCCAAATCTGGGATGTAAAATTGGATGAGGGACTTGAGCGAGCTGTGATTGAAGCCAAGAATGGTAACCTTGAAATTACAATTGCCAATTGATTCTAGATAATTGTTCATCATGGTAAAATTTTTAAATGGTTAATGATTACATGACAGGCCATATGTCAAAGGTTTAAATTTAAAAGCTGCATATTTCATTGTAGATAAGGTTTGTGGCCATCTAGACAACTTATGAGAGTAAATCTCATGTTTCTGAAGGACGAAAAAAGGATTTGTATAATGCTGGAAATTCGACTTTATTTGGTGCTTAAAAGCTAAACTCAAAGCTTTGTTTTTGTGGGTTGCAGCGAAGTGGAAGGCTGAAGGGGAGGTTGAGTACAAGAAACTCTCTGTTGCTCGTCACAGTCAAGCCACCGCGGATGTTGCATGGGACATCTCGGGCAAAATATCAGGGGTGACTGGCAAGGACTACTTCGACTTGGCCCTCATGTCCCAGTATATTGACTCCATGTCAGATAGAGGCGGAAATTCAAAATCCTCGATGCTATTCGTTCCGCAAGGTCCTGGAGCCATGCGAGAGGTGACCGCGAAGATACACGATGGTCTTCTTGAAGCGTCCACGTCCAGTGCTAAGTAGTAGTGACAATTTGACAGTTACATTTATGACTCTAGTTTGTAGTTGTATTTTCTATGCCTGTTACTATTTTCTATGCCACGACTGTACTCCCACACCGCACCGTTTTAACCTCCTCCATATGGAGTGCTTTTACTTTCTTAAAGTGCTTTTACTTTCTAGTCACTATGTGGTATGATAACAATCAAGCAGTTCAGAGCAAGCTTCATGATTATGGTACATCTTGTACCTGCTCCTATCTGTATATCTGTATGCGTGTTTACATATGCTCGCATGCTTGTGTTTATACACACTTTCGGATTTGTGTGCCTTTGTTACTTGATAAGAGAGTCTCCTATCTTTGATCAGCAGACAAGTTCTGGAGTGGTCTCACGGAAGACCATTACCTGTCACGAGCGTCAAGCTTCTTTTCTTATTTAACCAAAAGTTTGAGAGAGAATGAGAAATTTGAGTTAGAGGAGTGGAGAAAAGAGCGGATATCATACTCAAACTACTGGCTATCAGAAACACAAATTTACGCAGTGGAGGCAAAAGGAGATGCCCTTGAAATTGCCAAAACATTGTACAGGAACTATTTCGGTTAGCAATCCAATGGTCCAGCCTATCCTCTCTTCCTAGATTGCTCATCTAGTTAACCATTCTCTGTAACTTTCAGTGTCAGCCCGTAGAGAAGCTTCTCTTCCTAGAAAGGCATGACCTGAAATCTGTGTCTTTACCAGTTGACTTGATTAAAGATGTTCTAAATCTAATAAAATCCTTTTGTTCCTTTAGCAACAGAATGTGTGATTCAGTGGATTGTTATGCTCGTATGATGTCACGGTCTATACTCTGTGCTTACATTGTTTGGTCGTAACAAGTACAATTCGACAGTTTTGCTCTAAAAGGCAATGATGTTGCATAAATCATTCATTTCTGCAACTTGAAAACCTCACAATCGCAACACTACATTTCAGCTGGATGTCCAAAGCCAGCCCCCGTCACTTTGTGCTATTTGTGGGACACCTAGTATGTCCAGTACCAGGTACTGTGCTTCGGTCTTTCAAGTCGAAAGAGATTTTGGACATTAGGGGTGGGTAGTTTTTCTGCAGACACGGTAAAAGCATCTGATCAAGAAGTCAAAACCATATTTTTATGCTGAGCATGTTGAAACCGTTTGTAAGCTGGCTGACGGTATTACCAACGGTTGTGAGTTGACTTCCAAAACTACTGAGAATCGATTGATGCCACATAATTAAGAGGTTGTTAAATAGTCATGTTAGGGCATCAGCCTTGCTCATTGTTGAACATCAATAAACTAATGATATGATGGTCAACGTTGATATAATTAACCATTTACTTCATCTTCTAACTTGACATTTTTCATCCAATGACCCCCCTATTCTCATGTATACCCCCCCTCAAACCAATTCCATTGAATATGTATAATTCGCTGTCTTTATCGTCTGCATCTTCTGGCAACTACTTCTATGCTATCGGGGGGCTTCCATCACTGTCAATACCTCCCTGGCCTTCTCCGTCATTGATTGTATCCTCATGATTGTCGATCGAGGAGATACAGTGCTAGTCTCAGCAGGCCCATCTAGTCATAAGATGGGTCATGGAATGCTTAGCTTGCCTCTGAGATGCAAATGTTTAGGGATATCAGATTTATGTTGTACGCTTCTAGAGACTGATGAATCTGTCTGTGTTAAAGTCGATGCTAACAAGGGCTCTAACAAAAACGACTGATTCTGGCTATTCCTTTCCTTCTCCTTCCTCATCTCCTCCAACAAAGCTTTACCCGTGTCTCTGCCTGTTTCATCATCAGAGACAACATGTCACGAGCCACGTCTTAATTGTCTCTGTCAAGATATTCACTCAATTCCAGAATGAAATTCATATACTACCTGCAAGGTATCCACCATGTACATAACCATTGAATCTCTCACTTGTGTGTTCACCAGTGAAAAAGAAGCGTCCTACCGGTGCCTGAGAACATACAGAAAATCTGCTTCAATTACAGGTACAGCTCAAGCTATTTCAAGAAGAAGCGCTAGCACCAACAAATTTCTAGTTGCCTCGGAACAACAAAAGAAAAAATAAACCTCATTCTAGTTGCTTCTCCTAGGACATAGTAAATGTAAAAGAATCTAAAGCTGCTAGATATTTCACATAGAAATTAACCCCTAAGGGATTGATTCAGAAAGACATACATCTTTTGTCAAGCCATAAATGACAACTTGTCTAAGCTTGGATATCCAGAAGTGAGAATTATACTGATCAAAATATAAACATGAAAACAGGAACATGCGGGATTCGTAATATTTGAAGGTAAGATAAGCACCTACCTTAATGTTTTGAACGACCTGATGATTAAAAATGGCGGGGTAGTTGCTGCAGCTGCCACGCTGGAACCTGTTATTCCGCCAGCGGGGCACGAGTATATCAGTGGCATTAGGTATATTGGGCCCAAACATGTCCCTAAGCACCTCCATAGCCTCTTTCAGTGTCTCTTCGTCAGATTGATTCTCCACACGCTTTGATTCTCCATTTGTCAATGTCACAACCAGAATATTGGAACCAGGGTATGCATTCTCCATGTGCTGATGACGTGCCCAGAGATAAACAACACGATCATCTTTATCAGATGAGTTCCCCTCGACGCATTATACAGTCGATTAAAATATTGCTCGAGATTCCACATCAAAGCAAATTAGAGTATCGAAACGTAATGAGGACGGTGAGATCCCCAAATCTTCCATCAGAGGCCAAGTGTGGCAGATAACATTTTATAGTGTTCTCCCAATTGAAGTAATGAAGATATTACAATCTTATAGGTTTGAAAACTGATGGCCGTACTTAATATCGATACCTCATAATTAAACAAATTGGCTGCAATTGTAACTTAATCCCAGAGTGCAGCTAATACCGCCAGCTTTCAGAAAATGACAAAAACATCATGAACATCCCCCTCCAGCCAACGACTTTACGCAACTCAAAGTATAATAAGCTCTTGACTATTTAATGATTGTAGATGGCAGCTATATTATATAGAGGAATCAGCATCACAGTAAGGTGTAGTGATGAATAGATATAATGCCACGCATATGACGGACTCCTCTACACCCTTGAAGAGAAATACATATAAACCACTTCTAACATTTGCAAACAAAAAGGCTGGGTATGAAATCATGGGTCTTAATACAGAAAACTAACTACATGAATAGCAGAAGAGCCAATGCACACGTATTCAGTATCATCAAAATGAAGTAGTTCCAGCTTTCCGAGACAGTGAACTTTCCATCGATGAACGAGCCCTAATAAATAAAAGACACCATATTTTTCCAGCCAACCGTGAATTAGAGAATAACGTGGTATCAAATACTACTCTAGACAATAATACCACTCTTTCTTATGCAAAAAGCGTAGCTTATATAAATACAGTGGCTTGTCTGACAAAAAAAATTATTCAGTGGCTCGGGACCCAGCAGAACGATAATTAAAAAATAGCATAATCGACTCTTTTCCATTAAAATAGGATTTTTTCTTTTTTTGAAGTTCACCTTATTGATGCTTGAGAAGTAGTCCAGTATACTGCTTGTTAACAACACCAAACATGTTAACTTCATAATATTGGGTACAGTTTTTTCACACTTTCTAAGATCCCCGGAGGATGACATCAGGAAGCACTCAATTCCCCACGAGAGAAAACTCTTAGGGCCAAGAAAACCGGAAGAAGAAAGAAAAACTATTAGCTGGCTACAAAAGTTTTGTTAACAAACCTGCCAGAATGTGTAATAACCTCTCCGTTCGTGTGCATATATGAAGAACTCTTTCTCGGGTCCACAAGGCCAGAACTTATACGGAAACTTCAGGAACATTTTCGTGTAAACCATCACGTCAAGCTTCTCTATCGCCTCCATCTTCCATCTCTGTTGAGCATTATTTTCCAAATTAGTGCTACTTCATCGGACCAAGTAAAATGGACAATAGATCAAACATCACTCAGCTTCCTTTGAGGACCACCAACAAAGAGAACCCGTAATCATAATTGTTGCTTAATCCTCTAGACATCGTTAAAGATATAAATTTTCAAATGGATACGCGCAGTAGTAACTTTTATATTTAATCCTAAAGAACAGCAAGCGTGTTGGCACAAGATAACATCCAAGGATTCGTAGGTCCTGAATTCTATCACGATAAAACGATTCTATTGGAATCAATAACAGTGGTGCAGTTGGTTCTGGCTACTATCTGAACCGAAAACATGAAGCCCTCATAGGCATAAATCAAGGAAAGGTCCAGGATGAGACATTTATATTGCTAGTCTTCTAACCTCTGGAGAAACAGAGAATTCCACGGTATGTACTAAAGTACCCAACATTCCAATTGGCATATAGTGCAAACAGCTGTCACCACATGCAATTGGATTCCGGGAATATTGAAATCTCCATAATCGAGGTGTGCCAAAGCGAAAAGTCCACAGCCACCAAAGCACAGCACCCATTTAGAAAGCACGGTTGTTAGTAACTATCTGTGGTCATGCAACCGTGGCATTTGCCTTGTTCAAAGGAAAGGCCACCTCGAAAATCTGCGTCTTACTACCGGGGACAGCGACTGCGAGTGAGGTCAATTTAATATGTAAGATAGCTTGCGAGGCTTTCAATACTGATAATTAACTTGATGATTGAAATAAATATGTGGGCCACAGCTTGAATATCAAGAACGCAACCCAGAAAACTCACTCTTGTAGGGGCACTCATCATGGGGAGTCTTCTATGACTATTAACTACTTTCGTAGAGCAATTGGATAAATTACATGGTCGAGACCCAGTAAATGCAAGGGAAAACATGGACGACATTACAACCAAGAGATCTTTTTCAGTGTATTTACAAGTTCATTCAATCAATCAAAAGCAGCACTTTGCGCTAAAGTGTTTCACAGTAGTTATTAGAATCTTGTTAGGAACTTTCACGTATTAATTGTAAGGCGCAATAATTCCGATTGTACTAGTTTTTCAATATTATTCATGTGATTTCAGTGCACTCTATGGACTTTTCAAAAATTGGGGATAGAAAAGGAAGATAGTGAGAGAAATAAGAATGAAGGGAGATGTGTTGCGGGCATTGATGGCCTGAACGAGATGAGGTCACTTTGGAGAGCCCCAATGCTAACAGACAGAATCGCGTAAGACACAACCATCCTCCGTAGTAACAGTAACTCCGGTTCTCAAGTGTTGTATTTCCCGGACGACCTGCCCCAAATCCATGCATAGACGTAACAGGCAAAAGTTAAAAATCAAATTAAAGCCCGGAGAATCAGATGCAATGGCAATGAAGATAGAAAAAGTTTATCAACATATCTGAATGAGAACTGTGCAGTGGTCAAACAAAGAGACTCATTACCCTAGTGAAGTTCGCTCACTCACAATCTGACATTATAGAAATATTTAAATTGTGTAGAGTCGAAATGGTCCCCGCTAAATTCCACCTACGCGCTAGTCATCTATTTTCTTCATCCTTCTTGCATTTGAATTTGAATGGGCAAGGAAACACCACATTAAATGGAGAAAATGACAACACTTCATGTGTTCATGTTCTTCTTCTATTTGAGCGGATTTGACCGCTCCACCTATTGACTTCTACATGAGGTCATCAAGTTCACTGTATAAGCTAATAGACATTGGCCAGAAAGAGAGCGGTAACATTTGGAAGCAGAAATTATACTAAGAAACTGGAAAAACTTACTAACCTCAGACACGAAGAAGGCATGGAAGCCATAAGGAACCCTGTGGGGTAATTCAACAACAGCAACAGGATCAGATGACATGTTTTTCGCATCAATTACATTTACTGCCGACTTCCTGCACATTTATTGAACAAACATCACTCCATGTTCTCATCATCCTCCTTGAACTATAGTGTTCACCGTTTTCTTGCAGTGCAGCACCAGTGAGATTTGCCAAAAGAGCGGGAGGTCCAATGATTAACTAAATCAATGGTGAGAAAAGGATGAGCAGAATACCGTGTTCTCATCATGTACGAAGAATATCAGACACCCATCATCTTCTTCAGGAGTGATGCCAGGCTCTCGAGGGACAAAAATAGCTTCAGAACCAAATCTACCTGGTCCCAGGTCAAACACACCTTGAACATTTCCACCGACCTCAATCTTCTTTTTTCCTTCCTCTGGCTCAGCGTGCAGATCAAATTTCACAATTCCAGCAACCTTTGCAATGCTGTCCAGAATGGTTCCGTACACATACCTTTGTTTCCTAGGCACTCAAAAGATGGCTCAAGTAAGAAATACAAAAATGAAAAAACACTGACTGACAAAATAATGATAAGATTTTCCACAATGATTAATAGCAGATATAGGATTTCTTGACCTCAGGTTGCGGTAATGGCCCTTCAGCATTTTTTCGCTCTTTGCAAACATTCGTGTAGCTTTGTACATCCAAAATAAAATTTTCCTTATACAACCATTCATGGACCTGAATTAAAGCGACACCTGCCGGTGTAGCACTCATTTATCCTCGGAAAATCAACCACAGGTGCTGACAGCTTCTTTTGTGAAGCCAGGCCAGTTTTCATGTTGAATCTCATTTCATACCTGGTTGACAAAAAGAAAAAAAACAGTCGAAATTTTTTTAAAACGTCGGAATTTAAAAAGAGCATTTGGCAGGGCATAATCAGATCACAGTTTTTCTTACAGTTCATCTGTGAAATTCTCGAGCTTTTCCTTAACAGTCCCATTGACCATGTCCAGATCAGGATTCTCAAGGCGGCAAGTAATCAAAACAACTTCATCTTCCTCCTCCCATGCATTGGCTGGAAGTAAACAGCCAATTTAGTCATTAAGGAGAAGGGAAAACCAGAGTTACGGTATTAATAAACTACTGGATTTACTGATAGCAGCAAAACACCATAAAATATACAACGTTGCTCATGCCAGTGGCAAAATAACAACAGTACAAGGAAAAACTTGGCCAGAATAGAAGTTTCAATAGCCTAACTAATAAACTCCTCACCACCATTGCGCTACTACAACGTGCAAGTTATTGCCAGAATTTTCAAAGCTCAAAGGAATCATTGAAAAAGTAGAAGATGAAGACAAGATGCCTTTGAATATCTAAATGTCAAATTAACTGACTCAAAAGCCCGTGAGCATACTATCCAAACTTTTCCTCATGCAGTACAAAAATCAACCCAAGATCTATGGCTCCTGACAAACAAGAATGGCCTATAAAGTTTATCTCACTATAAAAAACAAGGATGGTCAAGAAGACGCACCATTGTGAAAAATGAAGCAGTTTGGAAGCTCAAACCATCTGATTTGAAGCTCGTTCTTTGCATATCGCGTAAGTACCCCAAAGCGAGATTTTTTGGTTGCATCAAATGTAAATATTAGCTTGTTATCTTTAACCATTTCCTGTCAACATAATCGGAGAACATACAGTCATGATCATTTTATATGGTAAACAATATATGGCCTGTATCATACAAACAGTATAGCAATTTGAGGTGGGGCATTAGGAACATCAAATAAAATTTAAGATGAAAAAGATGACATAACTATTGTGATCAGCAATACTCTCCCCTGATATTTGAATAGAATCCAGAGAGTTTAGGTCAATAATTTGCTCTCATTTTAAGAATTTCAAAGTTTCATCCGAGACCCATTATCTGCTGTAATTGGCTTTAGTCTGAGTAGTGATTCTCATAAAGCTTTTGTACTTATATGTTACCATACCTTGGGCCTGAAATAAAGAGGAAGATCCATGAAAGTTGCATAATTCTCTATAATGGCAAAGTCATGCATCATGATGGGATCTGAAATGGTAATTGGTACTGGATCATGCATGAATCCATCTTTTGAAATAACCCTGTAGGTGATATATGGCGGTGTATGCGAATAGCCAAAGGTGAACATCTCTCCTGCACCAACAATCATAAGTTACAGCATTTTCCCTGAATAGAACAAACTGATTGGAATGTTAGGAGCTTGGAATTACCTGTGAAAGGATCGACCTTCGGATGGGCTGTAAAAGAATGAGCAAGTCTCTTATCATAATCAAGCATTCCAAGAGTCTGCCAGTCGCCATCTTCCAAAACCTTGAGGACATCTGCACAGAATCACAAACTTTAGCTCCCCACTATAAACTAATAAAGGTCACCAAAAGGAGGAAGAGCACAGAGAACTTGGAGTTTTACAAGGTTTATCGGCCTCTGAAAGCGCCAAGAGTTTTCCATGCTGATATATGAGTGCAGTATTGCCTGGAATCGAGAATAAAGCAGTTAATTTTCATATATCTTACAGAAAACTGCATGGAAGTCCCGAACTAGGCATAATTGTATGGATATGGCTCCAAGCAAGGCTCTATATGTGTCTCTCGATCAGGAAAGACGATAATGCATTGTATCGTACAGAGATGTTTTTTATTTGATCGCCAAGATAGAATTGGCAATAACCATGGACATATGATGATGGCTCGTGGACATTCCTTGAGTGCTTAGGACAGTCTCAACTGTTTTCTTTTGCTAGGTCTCAAAGAGTCAACATTGAATTAAATTACATAAGCCGTCATCCAGAAGAATCAACTAACATATGCATAGAAGCCCACCACATATTGCACCTTTTTCACATTTGAATATTTAATGCTTATCATATCATGCTCGAAACTGCTAAAAAAACAGTCTTAAGAGGTCCTCCTCAAGTTACTAAAAGGTTTTAAGAGCAATGCACGGGTCTCGGAGTTTAAAAGCCCTACCTGTCCCTGTTCCATATGAAACATCTAGTATTTTCAGTTTTGCTCTCAACATTTGCATATTGACCATGAGTAAACCAAAAAGCCCTTTGAGGTCTCCAATCTGCAAATTGGGAGTTAGATAAACAATGAATAATACTAAGGAAGCGAACGTCTACAGAAAAAATCCTAGCACATCTTTTGCCTAGCGACAAATAAAAATCGATGCCCACGATGGACTCCTGTATACATAGCTTTTGTCACTTCATAAGGAAATTGATGTTTTGTTCATTCCAAAATCCTCAAGCTAAATTTGAGGCCACTCAGAACAACTGAGGATGATTGTCGACTGACATTAGAATCTTCCATCTGCATTGCAATGGAGATGTGCCGACACATGGTTTTCATTTTGGCCAAAAAGTGTTGATACATTCACGATTCAAAGAGAGTATGCCACATGCTTTGAAGTTTCAACAACCAATCGAACTGAGATATTAACTCTATCGTGCAACATGACAAACTTGTGTCTCTGCTCCTCGTGAACATACCTTCAAAAATTTAGATCCTCCAAAGTACTCCTCTTGCTTGAGTCTCGACGTCCTCACATAGTGAGAGACGTAAGTAGCTTTGCCATATTTTATCCGCATGCCATGAACCATGCTGCATGGTAGAAAAAAGGGCGGGCCAAAAAAAGAAGAACAAGGTAACTGATTCAGTGACCATTCATTCACATATGCTAAAACACTGAATTAGAGCAGACAGGTGCTAAATTTGAGGAAACAGGTAATCGGATAGATCCACAATACTCCCTAGTCTAACTCTGAACAAGTCCAAACGAATGCACACCCTAGTCTAACTCTGAACGATTGTGAATTCGAACTAAACGGTGACTGTCATTTCTCTACTTAGCGAAACTCGTTATGAACTAGAAGTGCATCAGCTAATGCGGAATCGGGCAGGCTCAAGAATACGCACCCATCTCCATCAAACCTGCACGGAAGGGAAAAAAACAAAACAGAACCCAGTTAATAGAACCGTGTATCAAGCCCCTTGTTAAACCGAACCAGAGAGTTTCATCAAGAACGAAACCGGGCAAAGAGAGAGGGTACCAGTGGTATCCGGCGACAGGGGCAAACTTGGGATTGGGGCCCACCCGAACGAATTCTCCATTCAAGCAATCCTAAAAGAGCACGATTTACACACTCCATAAAATCGACGATAAAATAGATAAGAGCGACGAACACACTTTGCCAAGGAAACACGAGAATGAAGGCGGGGAGCAAATTACAGGGAGATGGTCGAGGACAGGGAGGTCGGTGACGGTAGGGGTCTCGTCGGGAACAGGAGCGAAGTTGCCGGAGAGATAGTGGTGAGGCCGAGAAGAGTCGTACATCAACTTCACAATCAGCTTCTTAATGTAGTCCACCACCTTGGACGCCACCCCCTTCTTCGGCTTCGGATTCACCTCCACTATCCCTCCTCCTCCTCCTCCGCCGCCGCTCCCTTTCTTCTCATCGTACTTCATCTTCTCCTCTCTCTATTTCTCTCTCTGCGGGAGACCGATAAGAGCGCGTTATTTGACAGTGTTATTAGTTACTAGTGTTATTACCAGTCAGTCACTCACTCGGATAATCTCATTCGACGTGGTTGGTCGGTCTATCAGAGGCCGACACGCGCTCTTCTCTCTTCTCTCTCCCGTTCGCTCCTCCTCCGCCACCTCCTCGCGTGCTGTTATGGGGGACGGTGGAGAGAATAGAGAGAGAGAGAGATGCTCATTAGACCTTGAAGTCTTGAACAGTCAACTTCGAACAAAAGCCAATTTGAGACCATCTCTCCTCCCTTATATATATATTAAAAATGGAAGCTCGCCTTTTGCGGGCGGGTGGATCCGTGGATGGACACTCGACAGCTTTTCTTGCTCTTTTTTCAATTCTTCTCCTTTGTTTATATATATTAACAAAGCAACGACTGAGTTATAAGGATGAAAGGGTAGGTTGCTACTACAGGACGGTTGCTGCGATCGGTGGAAAAGTCATCCGGGATAAAACAGTTGTTGATTGTGCAACCGTTATGTGAATATATGAAGACATTTTGGCTCTTTGCGCTCATTTTCGTGCTCTGTAATAAAATCCTTCCAATGTCAGCACACTCATTTATCCCGATATTGTTATTGAATAATATAACAAAATTCTCGTACAATCACCAAGCCACCACGGTCATTGACCCGCTCCTAGACATATAGCTTGACCCTAACTCAGGAGAACTTACACCGCTGCAGATATTCACAAATTGAGCCAGACAACAGTACTCGTAGGATAGTCATTTAGCGTTGCATCATCTTTCAAGTTTAGAGATGGAAATCTCTATTCAACAAGTGAACGCAACACCATCCACGGCCCGATGACGGTAACTAGACGAAAAATAGAATACATTATCAGCAACCTTTCAAGTTCGACTACAAAGTCAGCGTCGTCGTTGATTGAGAAAAGCTTAGATAGAGAGGCTCCGCCTTCGCCCTTGAGGTTCCTATCGCTGTCGCTTAGGCCGACCTCCAAAGGAAAAGTTCAAAAAGAGAGGAAACCTTTCTCCTTGAGGCTTTCAACAGTGTCTCTTAGGCTAACTTCCAAGAAATAAGAAATTCACGCCCTACCTTCTACTTTTTCCCTTGATATCCTATGAAGCCGACACAGCAGGTTTGTCGTCTTCACATCTGTGTTCAAAATGCATGATTCATGCAGCATTGGCGAACGTTAGGGTATATGCTCGACTTAAGACCACTTCTCGAGTTGCTCATAAGAGAAAAAGTTACCTTTTTAATCTATGGACTGGAACAAAAATGGGAACTTACTTTTCTGGGAGGTGCAATGTGGGATAAAGATGGCGCAAGATCTTCGAGGCGTCGCGACGGTGCATTGCTCCTCCAACTACACAATATCTGCCGCTAGCTAAAGGATTTTCAAGAGCTTAAATGTGTGCTTGTCCAACGTCTCAGACATCAACACATCCGTAGGACGCATTGGGAAATTCTTCAGTTCCTACATCATACGTGCCTTTGATTATTCCCACTGCAGACACCATTTTCTTAAAGGAAAATCACTTTCCTAGTGCAACTGGGTTTCTTCTTGCACATGGAAATGAATTACGGGTACGTTTGGTTAAGTATTTTGAAAGCCCCTTTAGGGCCCAAAGCCCCTTGGGAAAAATTTTGGGTGTTTGGCAATTATTCCCACAAACAACTAAAAATTGACAAACATAAAAATGTACAAACTTTAGTGCAATGGATTTGAAAGCCCCTTTGGGGCTCATCTACAGTTGATTTATTCACAAGAAATCATCATAGATCAAGGTATGCGTCTCATCTATTATGATATTGTGAAAACCATCTTGCTCTAAGATTTTGGGTATGATGTTTATGCAAATATTAGGGTTTGATTTACATAGAATTGATTTGATCTTACATGAATAGCAACAACTCAAGTGCTTCTCCTTTATTGTCCTGTGTATCACTAGCTCAATGAGACTGCCGCTCACGAATTGCATTATGCGACGGCTCCTTATTTGAGGTTATTTTTGCAATTTTCAGTCACAAACCCTCTCGTCACAGATCCACACCAGCCAACCCCACATTAAACTAATTAAATTTTTTATATCTTACCTTATCAAACCAACCCGTAAAACAGTAAATTTTAATCTCAATTAATCTAGCCCGCATAAAAAAACACTTACATCCCTTTCTCCGAATATACACGGAAATGAGCTGGAATTTAAATCCCCTTCAATGTGCGCGTATATCCTTTTCCATATTAAGCCATTTCTTCTTGATTTCTTTCCAAGAAGCTTGATGTGTGCCCGATTGAGCTCTCCCTTTCTCCGATATTCCTGCCGTTCTCTGTGCCCCTTTCTTGGACGAGAGTATGGCTGAATATTGCCCGAATCTGCTTCCTCTTTCCGGATTCTTGTCGAGAATATTGTCTTCAATTACGGCCAGATTTTTCTCATCGATTTTCGTCCTTAACGGTGCATATTATCTTTGCCTTCCGGAGACGATTGCCCCAATCACGTGCCCACCTTCCTTGCCAAGAATCATATATATTTAGCCCATGTTTTCCTTTTTGCTTCGCCCCAGAATCTTTCCACGAGCTAAATTTCCCATCTTGGACTTTGCCGAAATTCCTTGTACTTTCCCAACTTAGATGACCAATGCAGGGCAGACGTGGAATTCAGCTACACAATCCACCACCGGGTCAATGAAATTATTCAATGCGCACATGCTTTAGAATGCCTAAATTCAACACAATATTAATATTTTTGTTTACAAGTCAAACTCGATCCCTTTTTTTTTTTTTAATGTAATGAATGGAGTAAATTGAGTAACCAAAATTTAGGTGTCAACAATACCACGCTATAAAGTCTGTTGGCCAGCAATGATATAACCTCAAGGGTTTTTGCTAAATAATTTAAATGTCTGGTGAATGATAGATAAAAGTTGCATTCAATTGAGGAACAATTGAATTTAAGGGACAAAAACACCTGTTCCGTCCATTTCGAGGACTCGAAGGAAAAGGAGAAACCTGTCCATTTGAAAAATATTCCGGACTTCTTTTGCTGCTCTCATTTTTGTCTTCCTCACAGCCGCTCCAACCATAACCTCTCCAGATTTCGTCTAATTCTCTCTGAACTTCTGAAATTTCTCGTCATTTCTCCAAATTTTAAGCTAATTCTATGACCGATATATGAGGATTTCGTCCCTCTTATACTTATTGCTCTATGTTTTTTTTTTCTCTTTTTTATCCCCCAGGAAATCTGTCCGGAGGGGTTCAAATCCTATGCGACCCATCCCATGCGAATCCGCAGGAGCTCGTCTATAAGCAAGGCCAAGCTGGAATTATTAAAGCCACGGTTTCCATTATGTTCGATAATCGGGTCGAAGTCAGAGTCCACTTGGCTTTTGTAATTATATCTCCTAATCTAAATCCGGATAATAAAGAACGGACTCAACTTATCACAACTAAAAATTCATAAAAATTCACAACTAAAAATTCATTAAAATGTACTTCACTCATGGTCAAGCAGATAATAAATAAGGTAATATTTATGAGTCATGGAATGGAACCACAAAGTTATTACATAACTCAATCAATTGCCTTTGTTCAAATGAAAGTCCAAAACTTTAGTGCAATGAATAGGTCTTCTGGCAACCCTGAGAGCATGAATCCGCACAAGCTCTGACTTTCTTCACGTCCACTTCAACTTTCTTGGTGTCTGCATGAGTTCCAATAAGAAACAAGAAATTAAAAATGTTACTTATATCAAGATTGAAGTTGATTTTTTTTTAACAAGAGCATATATCGAAGTCCAAGAAACGAAATAATTTAGTACGCGGCTATCTCTCGTAATTAAAATATAACAACGAAACATTGATAAAGAAACAAGATTATACAATAACTTTCTTGGTTTTGTGAGTTTGATAATAAGCTACGTTCTCGATGCGAAGATTATTACCCGCATGATAGTCCATGCAAGTAGACAAGAAACAACCGACATCGCAATGCTCTAGTGTCGCAGACGTAGGGGGCCCTGTTAAGCAACGATTGATGCAGTCCGCACTGCATTGCAATGAATCGGGGTCAAAGACACAGAAAAATGCACACTTCAACGCACATTTCCAAGATATGCGTGCGTCGGCTACGATGGAAGACGACAGTATCAGAACCGCCATGAACATCATCGACCCCATTCTCTTGGATGCTGTGACCTCCATGGCCATATACACCCCACCTGTTCTTAACCTCTCTCTCACGTAATGAGTTTTGAGCTAGTGTAGTGAGGTGTTGAAATGAGTAGCACCTTTATATACTGAGATATTCATTCAAGTTGCTGAATGAGTTGATGAGTAAAGAGGTAAGAAAAGGAAATTATCTTTTCCATTTAATGATAATATGCTTGACCTTGACCTTATCCTTTAGTCGATTTGGAAATTTAGCTGAGAATTTCTTTTTTCTTACCAAATTTCAGGTCCAGTAAAGAAGGTGATATTAGTTGCCACCTATTGCGAGATTTTCTTCTAAATGTGGGTACTTGTCAAATTTGATCTCGTCAGCAACGAAACTGTACAGGGACAAGTATCAGGTATATATACACCTATCTCGGTGATTTCCCCTTCTTTTGGCAAACTATTGAGTTGAATATGCATGGTAATTGCCTCGTATATTATGCACAATCAGGCCGCTCAAAATGGGAAAATAGGCATGGTAATTGCAAGTTTCTGGATGACCCCAAGGCATTCGACGAACATCAGTAGGAAGGCAGCCTCTAGAGCTCTTGACTTTCAGTTTGGATGGTAAGTATTTAATTTATCAGAAGGTACGTACAATTTTATTCCCCCTAGTACTCATAGATTGCGTTTGGTCATCTGGATTTTCTAGCTATGATAGGACTGAATAAGATATGATATGAAATCCAAAAAATTTGCTATATCATCTACATTGTTTGGTAAATTGTGAAAATAAAACCGGATGTTTTCAATATTATCA